TCGACATTTTCGGTTAGATCTTGTTTTTCGCTACACAAAGTGAACTTCTGTACTCATTCACTTCGACCATCTTCATGGTTATTGATTAAAGCAGTTCGCGTAGAATTACTAGGGTTATGTTATCTTATTCAGTTATAACTGTTCCAGCACCACTCACAAATTTTGTATACCCTATTTGCCTTTCATTTCTACCCATCCACCCCCGCCCCACCCCACCCCCACGCACGCACGCACGCACACACACACACTCACTCAAACGACCACGAACACTCGGTGTTTTTCCACCATTTAGCGAGACTTCAACCGCCTTATTCGCTGTTTATTTCCCTGTCAATCGCGCGATGTTTGAGTGAATTTTATCACATTTGTGAATCGCCGATGGCTCTGTCCGTGTGTGGACAACGGTGATGGCAACGTGAGATGAGCCTCGATGACGACGACGCACTGTCCCAGAAAGACATGTACGTTTGCAGTTTCATGCACTATCTCCAGTATTTAGACACATGCCTACGCAAAAACGGATAGATACTTACAGACAGACGCACACACTCATGCATACATACATACATACATACATACATACATACATACGTACATACAAACTTACATACACGTGTGTGGGCATGTAATCATATATAAACACAAACTTTCATATGAACATAGGTACATGCAAAATCTGTGCATATACCATTGCATAATTCAATGAGAAACTACGTGTGTTTGTCTCTTGTACACATTGTATTTGGATTTCTTTTAGCTGCAATCTTGGTTACGTGAACATTAGTTGCTCGCCTACTTACCGATTCCAATTCGGTATGTTTTCCAAGGACAAGTATGTGTCTTTTTCAAGTTTTGAACAGGGAGCCATTTGCAAACAATACACTTGATTTTCATAATTTATCTTCTGATTGACTGCACCGGGATCGGTGGATTCTATCGAGCTGGCGTCATACGAATCGCACGTTGTACTAAACTCTTCATTTCTTGTGATTCCATTTAATGCAATCAATCAATCAATCGTTCAATTCAAGTCAAGTGCTTGCTTTAGACACCCCAAAAGATGAATATTCAGCAGCCGCGTAGTGAAAAAACAGCGATCAAGCAGAATTACACCTGAATCGTGGTAAGCAAGGACAAAACAAGACAATTCATGATATGAGTAAGTTACCTTCAGAAGCGAGGCGTTCTGGGTTCTAGAAGCGATCGGGAAAGATATGGCACCACAGAAGACCGATAAGCGGCTGTGCGAGCAACTAAACGGTTATAGCCGAACAGGGTAGAACAAGAGGACACGCTTCAGAAGATCTTGATGCAACCGATGCGATGGGTTGTTCATGATTTTTGTGGAAAACGAACAGCATGACTTCTTATGTTGTGCAAGGATGAAGTGACAGAGAATTTCACCGGAAATCCCGCCACCTCTTGATAAATCTGCTAAGGATATGGAAATCCAATGTCAAAGTCAAAGTTTTATTATGGCAAATACTTACAAGCGGTTGCTTTTATAGTCCCATAGTGTTTAGCACAGATGAATCAATTCATCGTTCCGAGAAAATAGACGAATATCACAATTTATCCTTGTTTTGTGCACTGCTACGTACGTCGAAATTTAAAACTTGTCAAAGCTTCATACAGTTTGTGCTTGAAGGAACATCGGGTGTAGGTGGGGAATTCCAAGTAGTGCACACTCTGAGGGCGACTAAATGACGCCGGCAGTCTGGTCGGCAATTTGAGCGCTAATTTGAATGAGTGTCCCCTCAGGTGAGTGTTGGACGACAAGGCAAAGAGTGAACGACATGGGTGATCTGGGTCCCGCATTATTTGATACACCAAGATCAAATCCTTTCAAATACGGCGAGACAGTGTGGAGTACAGTTGCAGTGATTAAGGTCTTGCCGCGTAACTCCTGGAATGCAGCCCTTGACCAATTTGGTGGCCATTCTCTGTGAATTTTCGAGGATATTCCGGACGCGTTGCAGTCATGGCTTTCACTTTTGATTTGCATATTCCATGTGGGGTCGAATGTAGGCTTAACATAACCGTGGAAACAGCGCAAATTTAAATTTGCCAAAAACTGTCTTTAGCAAACTATCATATCTGACAGCGATGGACGACATCCGGTAGCAGGTTAAATAACGACCTAGGTCGTCTTGGATAATGACACCGAGATTATTCTCATTCTAATACGGAATTTGTTGATCTCCCAGTAAATTCCGAAACAGAGTTTTACGGCGAAGGAATACAACTGTTCATTTTGATGCAATAAATTCCATGCCGTTTTCGATTGACCATTGATAGGCAGGATTAAGTGTTCTCTGAAGTTTGAGCGAGTCCCCTGGTTTTGTACGTTTTTCATATTTTTGCATCGTCTGCAAACATTGATCCTTTTTGGCCCCAGAATGTCCATTTGGTCAATAAAGTTCTATTTTAGAATCCCTGGAATGATTACCCCGGACCGGTGCAGCCGTACGAGCAACATCCAAGCAAAAAGACACCGTGAAATGAAGATAGGAAAGACCGATGATGTTCTCAAGTGTGGGACAAAAAATGATAACTTCCTGAGCTTTCAAAATGCAGAATAAAATGGTTAAACTAGCTTCAATTTTAGCCGATTAGCACAGCAGGATACCTAACATTTAGGGGCCGGACAATGGCATCATTGTGCATGTTCAACGCCGGGCAGGATTCTAAGACATTTACATATCGGTTTCCTCTGTGAATTGCGAATAGCATTTAGCGGGAATGCGAGTTATGTGCAGTGGACCACTCAGTAAGACTAGTAAAGTCAGGTTGGAGGATGGAGGAGACATCACGGTGGGCGATTCCGAAGACGTTTTGAGGTTCCTCTTTTAGGCGCTGGAGTGATAGAAGTAGAGTTCCAACAGCAAGATATAATTCGTTTTTCTAAGCACTGGTTAAACAGAGCTGTTGGTACTGGCGAAAGTATGAGCGTACTCCCTAAGAATGGTAGGCTCCAGCCTGTGAGACCGGGTGATTCATTGGGCTTGAGTATCAACAACCCATTCAGAGCATTCTGTTATTGAATTGTAAAGAGTTCTTCACCACTGGGGTCGATAGTTGCGCTGGTGATGACCGGCTCCGTCTCCGTGTTGCTGGTCTTTTATTGAATGTTCCATTTAGCTCATCAATGTCTATTGACTGATTTGAACGGATTAGCCTCAGTTCATTGATTCAAACATACACTCTGGACGAATCATCATGTCTATTGTTTTTCTAAACAAGATTGATGATTAACCACTCAATTGCTTGATGGTATTCCAGGTATCCCGGTAGGTTTTGATGTGAAGAAGTGTACCAGTGTAGAGGCCGTCCATGCGATGTAAATCATTTTTGATCCCAAGAGATAAGAGTTTCACTCTTTGAAGATAGTTGCGCTTGTATACTCTTTCCTTGTTTGGACGTAACTGTTTCAGATGAGGAAACAATATGCGGTTACACCGAGGGTACAGTTTCTGTGAAAGGCAGCATATGTAGTAGCAAAAGTTTAAATACTGTGTAATATGATCATAATAGATGAGAGGATTAGGGTGATAGAATACATGGAAGTCTGTCCAAGAGAACAACACACTGAGCTTCTCTAGGTTCTCTGGGTTTTCTTCCATTGCTGTAACGACGTTTTGTAAATGATATGTGTTTGAACTTCCTGCATACTCTTGGGCATGGTCTGGAAACCCAAGAGGAAAGCGAGAAGATAAGGAAAAATACTGGCATTGTTTGCAAAACACATATTCACGCGAGTGTTTAACCTTGTTGGGAAGCTCACTATGTTTGGAGCTACCGTACTGGTGGATAGAATTCCGTTAGAATAGCCTCTTACACTTCTTCGGAATCTTTTTTTAAAAAAACATTTAACCGCGAATAATTATCACCAAGAGTCCATAACAAAGCCTGGTTTTTCGGAGGCAACTCATTACAAAAACAGTTCGATTAAGAGGTCGATTACTCATCCTAATATGGATTTGTTACAATATCAGTCAATATCAGTGTGCAAGCAGTTTGGTAAACGTTGCGAATTTGAAGCACAAAGCACTGTTTCTGAACACTTTTTTCCAGTCATCCAAATACTGCTTATTATGAAATCTGTAGTGATTAATTAAATCATTTGACAAAACTGACATATCATGGCGGCAAAACAATCACAGTGTAAATAACTAGTATTCACCAAGAAAGATCAATTGTTTGACTAAGTGACACCGCAAAGTCAATAACATGCGTTAGAGCTACAGAAGAGTCCTTAAACAATCAGAAAAAACCTCTAAAACTAAATAGAAAGAGTACAAAACCCAAAGGAAATATATAAATATTGGATAACTCAGGTTAAATAAAAATAAATATTCTTTTTTGTCTTGACAGGTTTTGGATGAATTGAATGAACTTCTCTTCCGTCCTGAAAACCGATTACCAATATTCTGTATCTGAAATTCTCACGGATTGCTTGCGATCAGGTGTTTGGTGAATGATCAATAATACCAGTCTAAGGTTACTTCGAAGAAGAGCAGGAAAAAAAAACACATTTTATCCGCTCAATCAAATAGAAAGCATAATTAGTGTGATTCGGGGGAAAGTAGCAATTCATATCAGTTGAAAAGATGTCTGCATCATGTGCAGTTTGCTAAATGTGTTCCATTTTAGGTAATCAATGGGACACCGCTTCATCTACTTCACAGAAATCCTTTTATGTCGACTCGTGATAGTTAACCCCTATCAAAGCATACACACAGAATTGCTCACAGATTTCTTTCAGAACTGAAAGTTGTACGTTGGTCGCATATCAGCTACAAAACTATAAGACGAGTATAGACGTACACTGGATTATTCTAGTGAGAGAACCTCTCCATCATCTCAGTCCGAACAAAAATGATTGGACAATTTTTGAGCAGTGCCTTATTACATTGAAATACCCAAATGTCCACGAAACGTTGATGGTTAAAGCTTGAAAACACTGGTATCGGTACGCATATTCTTGGTATTTTTATATATCATGTGCTATTCCATAAAATTATTATTATCATAAGGGTAACCGGAGTCATCATCATCATCAACATCATCATCATCATCATCCGAGTCATCATCATCATCATCATCATCAACATCATCATCACCATCCGAGTCATCACCATCATCATCACCATCCGAGTCATCATCATCATCATCATCATCATCAGCAGCAGCAGCAGCAGCAGCATCATCATCCGAGTCATCATCATCATCATCATACTCATCCGAGTCATCATCGTCATCATCATCATCCGAAACATCATCATCATCATCATCAGCATCATCATCATCATCCGAGTCATCATCAGCATCATCATCCGAGTCATCATCCGAGTCATCATCATCATCATCAATATCATCATCATCATCATCA